TCTGTTGAAGATAGAGAGGGAGAGTCTGTGAGGTCTGCCACCCCCAACTTGCCCTCATGCCTCCAAGTAAGGGCTGCAGTCATAGCAACCAGGCCACAAGGCTCAGGGACTGACTTCACTCAGCTCGTCAGGGTATGGCCTCTGGCCAATCACAGGGCTGTTCACATCTAGGTGAGCCTAAGACCAATGCCACTGACAGAAGAATATTGGATCAATGTCCCAAACCTTGCCCACTCATGCAGGCATCAGATTTTTATTGAGTACCTACTGTTTGTCAGGTGCCAAGGGTACAACAGGGAACAGGTTGTACGCTTAGTCCTTGCCCTGGAGATATTCAGCCTGGGGTACTGACAAGTGGATACAGCATGACAGTGGGATAAGCACTTTGACTTGAGAAGCAAGGACTGCAGGATGTTGCCAGGGTAGGAGGGAGTCCCCAGAAGAGGACAGAGAGTTCAAAGCTTGGCAAAGGCCACTCACCTTGTTGGCCATTTCCAGAGATAAGAGTCTTCTCACAACATCATCAACCCTGTGGGAAAAAACCGCAGCAATGAGAGACAGGTGTGGAGGGAAAGGGGGGAGGGGAAGCAAGGCTATTTTCATTTTAGTTTGAAAATCAAGAATGGTTAAAAATTTCTTTTACAACAGGAGTCTCTCTGGGAGTGGGGTGCCATTTCTCAGGAATTAAAAGTCAGCATGGATCTGATTTGCTGGGCTGAGAACACGCAACCATGTGGTAACAGAAAACTGGGGCTGTCAGCTCAAGTGTTCCAGATTCATTTCAGGGAGGGCAAAAAGAGGATTTCCATTTTAGCTGGAATATGGCTGGGTCGGTCTTGAGACACTTCAATTCTACAGTCATTGTTTCTTTCTCATGTCACACTGCACTGTGGGAGGGACCGGAGAGACTGCCCAGCTCCCACTGCACAGGACAGGGGCTGAGCACAGGGCCTGGTTTCGGTCTTCCAGCCCTGATTCGCCTTAGGAGCTGTATGACATTGGGCAGTCTGGTAAGGCACAAAACGGAGACACTGTGTCTTCCCTCACAGGACAGAGAGATGCAAGATTTCTACAAAGACCTGTGAGGCGTGGTGCCTCCGTGGTATCTCATGGCAGAGGGTCTGTACCCAGAGCATAAAAACAGCAGGCATGCTCCATCTGGCTCGCCTGCCCACTCACTCTCACCAGGCCCGGGCTTCTCTGCCCCGTTTCATAGTCAGGCTTCAGACCCCGCAGGCCTCTCCCTGGGAGCCAGCCCCCCCAGGGCTCTCTGCCTCACCCGGGAGATCTCGTCCTGCTTACTTCTCAGCCCCAGGGACGTTCTGGTAGTCCTTCAACAGCGTGGAAGGGGGCGGGTCGTCGTCTTGGCTTTGCTGGGCTGTCAAATGCAGGGGTGGAAAACACCCAGCATCAGCTCTCACTGTCCATCCTCCTGGCCTTGGCTCTTCCCATCCCCTCTGTCAGAAGCGTCCAGGGTCGCAAGCAAGGCACTGGCACCTCCGGGTTCAGCTTCTCCTCTGTAAACCCTATGGGCATCTGCCTCGGTAGCTCATGCTGGGAGCAGACAGCCTTTCCCAAGACCCTGTGCTGTGCCTGTGCCTCTCACACACCTGTCTGGCTCTACAGTTATCAGATGTCCCGCTAGGATGGGTCCTCCTGTGGACAGACTGAGCTCGCCTCCCTCTGAATACACCCCCACCCCTCCCCGCAGCCTGGTTCTGTGGCTCAGCACAGAACAGGCACTCTACAAATACTCGCTGGCTGACTGCATGAATGACATGAGGGGCTTACTTAAGGAGATGTCCGAAATGTAAACACCAGATAGAGATCACAAGAAACCCTCAGCCTTGGTGTGTGCTTGCAGGTGAGGGAGAGACAAGGCAGAGATCAACTTGTCCTCTCCACTTTGACCCTGCTCTGCCATTACACTAATAATATTAAGATCTAGTAAGAGAAATCTGAACAGCTATGCAGATTGCCTGGGGATGGGAAAGCAGGCTCTCCACCTCGGAGGGCGGACACGAAGCGCTGTATTTTAGGTAAGCCTCGGTAGTGTCAGCCCCGTACTGCCTCTCAATGGTTCATTTCCACTCACACCCACTCTAAAAGCTCCTGCTCCCATCCTCCCCTCCCTCTGCCCTTCATGCAGGATCCAGGCCCGTGACTTTCTTGCAAGGTGGGCGTGGGCTTCTTCGCAGGACCTCTGCACCATCACCCCTCCACCCTCGCCTCCGGGAGGCTCTGAGTAGCCACCTCAAGCCTTCCAGGCAATTGAATCTCTCTTCCGCCTCAAGTCGAATCCAGTTCCTACCTGGTTTCTGGGTGGCATATCCGCGGGCGGTCCGGAGGATGAGACCTACGTAAAAAAAGCGGGGCGGGGGGGGGGGGCTGAGGTCCGTCTCCTTAAACAATCTAGCCGCGATTCTGGTCTGTGGCCGCCGCATTTCTTCGGCACCGGGATGCCCCGTGTCTCTCCCACTTCACCTCACTTCTTCCCCACCCATCATTTTTCTCCTGCCGCTACACCGCCACCCAGTAGCCTCCTTCCCCTCATACCCTCTATCTCCTCCAAATCCTATTTCCCTATTCTCGCTGTCCAGCTTCTCAGCTCACCTCCAGGACTTGAGTGAAGGTCCCGCTGGACGGAGAGAAGCTTGGCGCACCCTCCGCCCGGAAACCCGAGGACTGGGGGATATGTCACTGCCTGGGTTCGAATCGAACTCAGCGCCCTCCACGCCGCCCTCAGCATGGTGACTTCCGACCCCCAAGGGACCCGCGCCACGGCCGCGTCGCCTTCGCGGTAGGGACTGGGTTACACGGGCGCCGCCATGTTGGCCCCGGCTCGACCAATCGAGTGCAGTTGCGAGACCGGAGCAGATGAGGACCGAGATGATGGATTGGCAGGTAGGCCTCAGTGATGACGCGAAGTTGGGTCAAGAGGAGAGGTCTGGTTAGCTATAGCGCGAGACTGGAGGGGCTTGGTCGTTGCCTGGACCTGTTATTGGCGTGCGGTGCTGTATCAACTCTAATGCCACCTTTTCTTGATCATGCATCCTGCCCTTAATCCCACTCCAGTTTCCTGACGAGTTATCCTGGGGGCTTCCCGCGGGCTTGTCAGTGGTCTTCTTCCCCCGACATAGTATTTCCACCCCCTCTCCCCCGAGAGTGCAGGATGGGGCCCTGTAAGAACTGCCGGGTTTCAGCCTTTTCTCTGGCAGCATTGCAGCGTGGTGACTGAGGTCGGTGATTTTGGACACCTGGAATCCTAGCTCGGCTGTTTGCTGGCTGTGTCACTGTGGGTCACTCAACCTTTCTGGGCCCCAGTGTACTTACTCCATGATATGGGGGTGATAATAACAGTATTTTTATTTTAGGTTGTTAGAGGGTTAACTGAGACGGTTGTATACAAAGCACCAGGAATATAGTAAGTATTCAAGAAATATTAGTTTTGATATTTGTGAAATGAGGGGTATAAGGACAAATGCCAGCCTCACAGGTGGCTAAGTGGTAAAGAATCTGCCTGCCAGTGCCAGAGTTGCAGGAGACAGATCCCCTGGAGGAGGAAATGACAACCCTCTCCAGTATTCTTGCCTGGAGAAGCCCATGGACAGAGGAGCCTGGTGGGCTACAGTTCATGGGGTTGCAAAGAGTCGGACATGACTGAGCCACTGAGCATGCAGACATGGACAAATGGAAAAATATACCTTAATTTCCCCCAGTACAAAAAAGAGAAAGACTCTCCTCCTCTTTGCTTTTCTTAAAGCATTTATTTTAGAATACATGTAACTGAATTCTTTTTCTGCCCTTTTGAGATGCGTGTAAATCTTTTTAAAAGCTAAATAGGCCTCTTGCCAGTTTTACCACTCAGGGATGTCTTTCTCAGGGACCCGAGAGTGGTCTGTTTGAAATGTAATCATTAAGAAAGACAGAGCCCCTGTCTCCCAGTTTCTGCGGGAGAGCTGGAGCTGGTCTCCAGCTCAAAGTTGCAAACCTCCCTCCTCTTATGAAGATATGAGAAATTTATTTTTCCTCTGAATAAAGGCAATTAGCAAACCCAGGTGGCTCCCCCTTTTCCCAGCTGAATTTAGGATGATCCTTGTGTGACAAATAGTGCTGTCAAGTCCTCTTGCTTGAGAACTAGTTATTGATTATCTTGAGAAAATGTATGCAATGAGTTGTATCCGCTTCACTGTGTAAAAGTGTAAGACTTCTTTTCGTCTTTGTGAACTCTTGAGCTGCTTGCCCATGACATTCTGGTTAAATTCTCACCCAATTAAAACATTTTTTTCTTCCTTGTCTACCCTTGTGGACAGGTTTTCTAGGCCGGTGGGAGATTTTGTTTTTAATTATATTTTCTTTACAGGGGTTACTTGTTTCCAAGGTCTGTTCGCCACGTCCCCAGTTATCTGTGACTCCTTTGGTAACCATGGCCACTGTACCCTAGTGGTCATTATTCAGGTTTCCGTCACTAGAATGGGAACTCTTTGAGGATGGACTAAGCCTAGTCATTTTGGAACCCTGCTGCCAGCACAGCGCCTCGGTGCTAGGTGAGGGCTAGTTGAATGAAGGAATTAAAGAAAGAATAAATAAGTGAACGATTCTGAGGAGCACCCCACCCCCACAATAGCTCAGGTTCTGAAAAGAAAAAGAACAGAGATTCAGGCACACTCAAGAGTTGCTCAAAATCAAGCCAAACCAAATCAGACCATAAGCCACTTTAAGAGACTGAAATTATAGGAATCAAGTACCGATTATGGGAAACAAAGGCTAGTGAGCAGGCTGGACCAAGCCTTGTCTGGCCTTTGAAGTGGGAGACCCAGCCCATGGAGATTGGGAAGATGGGAGAGGGATGCTAAGGGTCAAAGACAGGGGGAGGCCGGGAGCCTTTCTGCCTTTCCTGGAGCTGAGTGATTTTTTAGTGATGGGCTTACTGGCATTCTCTTCTCTGGATAGCCCAGGCTTATCAAAGAGCAGGCCCAGGTGGGGAGTCCCAGGAAGCCCTAGAAGCCCCCAAGACCCTCCGCCCCACTGACCCGGAGTCCTTGTAGTAGAGGGAAGTCAAGCAGAGGTTCAAAGATGCTGTCATCCTCCGGATGTGGGACTAGGAGCTCTGGGGCCCCCAGGGGGCTGGTCTGGAACCAGAGGTTCTCGTAGGACTTGGGACTGGGGGTGAGGCCCTCCAAGAGGGGCTGAGTTGAGTCACAGCGGAGGTAGTGCCCAGGCCCTGGGCCTGTGGGGCTGCCTAGCACCTGCACATAAAGCACCTGGTCGCTGTTGCCAGACTGGGGCTGAGGCTGAGTGGAAGGTACTCTTGGGTCCCCCTGGAGCACATAGGCCTGGACAAGGGTGGAGAGGCTACCGGTCCCTGAGCCGTCATTGGACTCCCAGGGCCCTGGCTTTTTCTCTTCCTCCTCCAGCACTGTGATCTTGGTGATGGGTGGCATGCCGGGGTCCCGAAGGCTGGGCAGCTGGAAGATATCCTGACATAAAGATGTGTGGTGAGGGCCTGGTTCATTTCAGATGTCTGTCCCAGCCCCTGTCCCTTCCTGAATTGGGGTGATGGTGGGGCATTCCTGCTGTTCCTTGCTGGAACTCAAAGGATTACTCAGAGGATGCAAAGCATCTCATATGTGCCGGACACGTACTATGTGCTGTTCAGACAGCCTGGTGACTCTCCCCAATGCTTCTGTGTGTGATTTGTCCTATTTCACAATGAGGTGACTGAGGCTTCGAAATGGGTGGAGCTGGGATTCACACTCAGGTCTGCTTTGCTCTATAAAGAGGTGAAGTGATGGGAAGGCCTGAGTACTCATTCTTGGGGGAGTATCCCTTCACTTTGAGCCTGGGGTAGGAGCCTAACCCTCAGACCCATTTCCCTCTCCCTCCAGTGTTCTCACCTCTGCCGCGATGGTTGGCACCCAGGAACCCAGGCTGCTGCGGGCTGGGTCCGGAACACTTGGCCAGAGGGAATACTTCCTGCTGGAGAAGAGGGCAGGTGAAGGCTGGGTCAGCATGCCCTCCCGTCCTTCCAGCATTTCTCCCACCTACTCCCAGCAGCAGAAGGGATGACCCCTTTGTGTAGAGAGGAGAAGGAGGGGGGGCCTGACTCCCAGACCTGAACCCTGTGGCCTGGCAAGTCTGAGAGGAGCCAGCCTTGCTCACTTGGGCCTTCAGTTCCCTTTGGCAGGGTTAACTGGGTGTCAGGCCTCTCAGACGGACTCACCTGGGTCTGCAGCAGAACTGGGCAGCCCCACAGAGGCAGATGAGCAAGACCAGGAGGCCAAACAGGCCCAGGATGATGTGCAGCTCAGACTCCTCTGTGGTGAGGGGAAAGCCAGGAGAGGTAAGAGGGCATGCATGTGAGACTGAGCCTCCTCCCTCAGACTGGGCTCCAAGGGCAGGGCTGGGCCTCCTCCCTCAGACTGGGCTCCAAGGATAGTGCTGGGTCTCCCCCCTCAGATCAGAGGATCCAGGCAAGGCTTATCCAGTTTCACAATGGCAGTCGTCTGGGTTAGGCCCCCTCCCAACAGCCTTGTCTGGCCAGACCCCATTCCCCCCTTACCTAGAGCCAAGGTCATCAGGTTGAGGATTGTACTGTTGGTGGCCCCCGCCTGGCTGGTGGCCATGAGGTGGACATGGTACAAGCTGGAAGGCTCCAGGCCACGGAGGACAAAGCTATGGGTGGAGGCATTCAGGACAGTGGCTGGGAGTAGAGAAGAATCGTGAGCCTGGGCCTGGCTGCTGAACCTCCCCAAGGCCTCTGAGCACCCCCTCCCAGGCCTTCTGGGGCTGCAGGTCGCTGAGGATAGACTCACAGAAGGACTGGTCCTGAGTGTTGGTCCAGAAGATGGTGTAGTGGGTAAAGGGGCTCTTCCCCAGCTCAGGGGCCTCGGGCACCCACTCCAGCTGGGCCCATGTCTTGCCAATGTGCCTGAGATGCAACTCTGGGCCATGGGAGGGGGCTGCCGGAAGAGAGAGATACAGGGGCTGATGGGGAGTGGTGTGGGGATGAGGGAGCCCAGTTGGACTTCTTGTGGTTCCCCAGACCCAAGAACTGGGACACTTTGTGGGGGTGGGTAGTATAAGAAAGTACAGGAGGACTCATATCCAAGCCTCGTTTTCCTAGGAACTTTCACTGAATCGCAGTGACTGCTAATAATTGGCTGAGCTGGGATTTGAACCTGCTTTTCTTTGACTCCAAAGCCTTGCTTCTTGATTTCTGCCAGGCCTGGTTTTGTCTAGTTCACTATTTGATTTCTGCCACTCATGTGATACCTGACTATTTTTTGCCAAACTTGCTCCCTGAATTCTGCTGAGCTTACTTCCCAGTTTCCATTACCCCATCACCTGAGTTCTTTCCAGCTGCAGGGGTCTAGTGTAAGCCAGGGGTAATCTTAGGATTGAGGGAGACCATTTTCTGGGCCAGAGGTAGGAAGGAAAGAAAAAGTTTTCTCCTAATTCCAGATTTTGGGGGGCCTAGACAGGCCTTGAGAGAGAGGAGGGGATTCTGAAAAAAAGACTTAGTGGCTAACGAACCCATCTCTTGGGAGTAGGCATAGACATGCTGGGAGGGTCCCTTGGTGTCCTGGTACAGGGGGGTCACAGTGATCTCGTAGAGCTGAAAGGGCCTGATGTTCTCTGTAGAGAGAAAATGGGGTGGGCGCTCTGGTTAGGGGCCAGCCTCTGATGATGGCTGGGAGCTAACCTTAGATTTCAGGGGTAACCTGAGCCTCGTTCTTCAGGGCTGGCCTCTGCAGTCTCTTCTTCAGATCATTTGGTGGGGGTAAGGGGCAACAAGTGGGGGAGACAGAGCTAGAAAGGCGGCAGAGTCAGGGCTAGAAAGAGAGGCTCCAGTTAGACTATAGGAAGAACTTCCAGATTCAGAGGACGTGAGATGAGAACGGTGCAGGAACAGGAAAGACCGGGTAATATACATCTTTAGAATGGTTAAGGCAGATAAAATGCTCCCCCTGCTCCCCGGCCCTGCCCATCTGCCCAGCCCCCAGGCCTGTCTCACCCTGCAGCAAGGTCCCTGCAATGCTTCCGTTATGCTCCATCTTCCAGGTCATAGGACTGCCGTTGGGGCTGGGGGGACTAAGGCCCCACTCAATCACATAGCCCTGAGGTGGAGGACTGGGGGGCTCCCAGCCCACCCAGAGGCTATGAGGGTCTCGAGCGGTGGCGTGGAGTCTGCCCAGGGGTGGGCCTGGAGATAGAGTAGGAGACGATGATATGAAGATGAAAAGAAAGGCCCTAGAGCTAGAAACCTGGGTTCAACTGTGGCCTTTGCAACTTACAAGCTGGGTGACCTTGGGTAAGTCAACATCTGGGCCTCAGATTCCTCATCTGCAAGGTGGAAATGATGATAATGAAGTTGCTGCCGTGGAGGGTCGTGGTGCAGATGAAGTGAGACGGTACATGAAATAGGCCCGCTGTGGTGTTAGTGCTTGGTGATAATGAAAGCTCACCCTGTGTGGGTCTCTGTGTGTATTAATTCATTGAGTTTGCTAACAGTTCAGCAAAAGTCCGTCTAGTCAAGGCTATGGTTTTTCCAGTGGTCATGTATGGATGTGAGAGTTGGACTATAAAGAAAGTTGAGCACTGAAGAATTGATGCGTTTGAACGTGGTGTTGGAGAAGACTCTTGAGAGTCCCTTGGACTGTAAGGAGGTCCAACCAGTCCATCCTAAAGGAGATCAGTCCTGGGTGTTCATTGGAAGGACTGATGTTGAAGCTGAAACTCCAATACTTTGGCCACCTGATGCGAAGAGCTGACTCATTGGAAAAGACCCTGATGCTGGGAGGGATTGGGGGCAGGAGGAGAAGGGGACGACAGAGGATCAGATGGTTGGATGGCATCACCGACTCGATGGGCATGGGTTTGGGTGGACTCCAGGAGTTGGTGATGGACAGGGAGGCCTGGCGTGTTGTGGTTCATGGGGTCACAAATAGTCGGACACGACTGAGTGAGTGAACTGAACTGAACTGAACTGAACAGTCCCATTGGGGGCACTGCTACTGTCCCCATCTTAGCAATAAGAAAATGGAGACAGGGCTTCCCTGTAGGTCCAGTGGCTAAGAATCTGCCTTGCAATGCAAGGGACGCTAGTTCGATCCCTGGTCCAGGAAGATCCCTCATACTTCAGATCAGCTAAGTCCATGTGCCACAACTACTAAACCTGTGCTCTGGAGCCCATGCTCTGCAACAAGAGAAACCACCACAATGACAAGCCTGTGCACTGCAACGAAGAGTAGCCCCAGCTCGCCGCAACTAGGGAAAGCCTGCGTTTAGCAACAAAGCCCCACCATAGCCAAAAAATAAAAAAGGAAAAAAAAAAAGAAAATGGAGACAGAGAGGTTAAGTGACTGGTCTAGGGTCACATGGCTGGGAAATGGGAATACTAGCTATTGTTATTGTGAGTCTCACTTCATGAAGACCCATGTTCAGGGCACCTGGGGGTTGTAGTGACCGGTCCCCTGAGAATGAACAGTTAACTCAGGGACTATTTTTTTTTAATATTTATTTATTTGGCTGTGCTAGGTTGTAGTTAGGAGAAGGCAATGGCAGCCCACTCCAGTACTCTTGCCTGGAAAATCCCATGGATGGAGGAGCCTGGTGGGCTGCAGTCCATGGGGTCTTGAAGAGTCGGGTATGACTGAGCGACTTCACTTTCACTTTTCACTTTCCTGCATTGGAGAAGGAAATGGCAACCCACTCCAGTGTTCTTGCCTGGAGGATCCCAGGGACGGGGGAGCCTCGTGGGCTGCCGTCTGTGGGGTCGCACAGAGTCGGACACGACTGAAGCGACTTAGCAGCAGCAGCAGGTCATAGTTAGAACATAGGGGGCTCTTTGATCTTTGTTGCAGCTGGCAGGACCTTTAGTTCCGGCATGTGGGATCTAGTTCCCTGACCAGGGATCAAAGCTGGGCCCCCTGCATTGGGAGTGTGGAGTCTTAGCCACTGGACTGCCAGGGAGGTCCCAGGGACTGTTTCAGCTGGAAAACTTCAGAACTTTGTCTCCCATTTCCTTGGCAGAATAGACTGTGTTTCTGTGTGTGTGTGTGTTTAGGCACTGCCACCAGCTTAACTTGGTTCTGGCTAATGATAATAATAGTCGCTAACAGGTATGGGACGGTTACTTTGTGTAGGCACATGTCTAAACTCAGGTAATCTTCACAGCAATGCTTTGAGTTAGACACTGTACCATTCCCATTTGCTAGATGAGTAAACGAGGCCAGAGAGGATAAGTAACTTGCCCAGATCTCATTGCTAACAAGTAACAGGATTAGATTTGAACCCAGGCAGTCTAGCCTCTGAATTCACATGCTTACCCAGCATACTGTACTAGCTCTGGGCCCTCTTTACCTCTGCTTTCCAAGAAGACCACAGGGGTGGGACGAGAGGAGCCAGCTGCGTTATAGGCCTTAAGGAGTACCCCCCGGGCTTCTGAAGGCAGCCGGAAGGTACAGTTCAGCTCCGTGGTGTCACAGAGGGTTGGCTCTGCCCCGGCCTGGTCTGAGGGTCTCCGGGAAACCAGGTAACCTTGGATCTGCCCGCTGTCTTCTTCCAGGGCTATTGGCTGTTAGTGGGCATAGGAGGAAAAAGATAAGGGGATGCCCAGCTCATCTTGAGTGGGGGAGAGCTTCTAGATGGACTGCCCGTGTCCCCGGAACTGAGCCGCCCAGACTGGGAGTCAGTCTTCCTCTCTCCCTCCCTTCTTCCCCCTGTGCCAGGTCCTAGAAGGGAGGAGAAGATAAAGTAACTCAGTGTGAGCAGCAGGCGCCTAGCAAGGTGAGTCCTGCCTGCATCATAGTCTCTGCAGAAGGGCACTGCCCAGCTCCCTAGTGCACTACCCAGCAAAGTGTGTGCAGATCATGTACGGATGCATCCAAGCCTGCCAGACCTGCTGGAGTCCAGAGCCCCAGCTTGCAGGGGTCTGTTTGAGTCTGAAGAGGTGGAGGGATGGCCTTCACAGGGGGTTACCTTCCAGAACAGCTGCACGGCCACTGTCTGGGGGTCCAGCTGCCTTTGCCGCCACCACGTGTCCAGTCTGACGATGGGGGCTGAGGAGGGAGCAGGAGGGGAGGGTCAGGGAGGGCCCCAGAGGCCAGCCTGGGTCCTGATGGCTGCTCCCAGCCCCTCACCACCTGCTCACCCCGTTGTGCGGTGATCAGCTCCAGGCTGGGGCTCCATTCACTCCAGTGGCCGGGCAGGGGCCAGCGGGTACAGCGCATTTGCAGGGTGTAGGCTGTGGATGGGAGGAGCCCACAGAGCTCATACTCGGGGATCCTGGCGGGCAGGGTGCTCACCTGGTGGAAGACAGGCATGGCTCTGAGCCTGGACCTCTGTGCCCTTCGGGGCCAGCTCAGCTTACCCTCCCCTCAGCCACCCCCACCCCAGGCTCCTCAGGTTGCCCTCTGCCTCACCAGGTCCCATCCGGCTTCTCCAAGCTGAGGCTGGTGGCGCAGCTCACACTTCTGTTCTATGTACAGGCTTGGCTTCCAGGTCTCCCAGCGCAGCCTCAGGCAGCCTGGCTGGGGTGGGGCCACCCCAGGTCTGGGCTCCAGGGCCCACAGTGTGGGGGGCTCCAGTTTCACTGCAAGGAGAGGGGTTATCGGCCACTTTCTCTGCTTCATCCTACAGGGCTCTGCCCTGGCTTCCGTTTGTCTCCCTGTCTGTGGGTCCCTTTCTTCTCTGGGTCTCCATTTGTGGGATCTCTATATCTTCCCGTCTCTCTCTGTGTCTCTTCATCTGTGTCATCCTGTTTCTGCAGGTCTGTCTCTGTCTAGGAGTCTGTTTCTCTCTCTGTTTCATACTCTTGCCCCAGGGCCTTTGCACTGGTTGTTCCCTCAGTCTGGAGCACTTACCTTCCAAATATACAGTGTCTTGCTCCCTCATTTCTTCCAAGGATCTTCTTAAATGTCATCTTCTCAGTGAGGCTTTCCCTGACTGCCTTCTCCCCAGCTGTCCCTACCCCATCCTCTGCTTAATTTCTTCATCACACATACCATTACCTGACATTTTATTATTCTTTGCCCACCAGAATGTAAGTGAGCAAAATTTCGGGGGCAAGATTCTTGCTGTTTTGTTTACTGCTGTACTCCCAGCCCCTAGAACAGTGCCTAGCACAGAGTAGGCGCTTCAAGAAATTTGCTGAAAGAAGGAATGAGTGTTTCCTTGCCTGTGTTTCTCCATAGCTGTCTTCAGTTGAATCCCACTTTATTTTTCTCCCTTTTCTTCCTCCAGGTCTTTCAGCATCTTTTTGTCCATCTCTGGGTCTGTGTTTCCCTGCCTGTGCCTCTCTGAGTCTGCTCATGGTGGGGACCTCTTTCCTCCCCCACACCCAGTGTCACCCACCAACGTCCATGGGAGCAAGGCAGAGCTTCGGGGAAATGCTGGTCCCCAGCGCGTTCCTGGCCTGCACCCAGATGCTCATGTCCTGGTACAGCTGCAGGTGTTTGCGGGGGATGGAGCAGTGGCTCTGCCCGTCCTCAGGCACGCAGTCAGGGATGGAATCCTTCTGCGTCTGGCATTGGTCCTGGCTCCTGCCAATGGGCCAGGCTTGGATGTAAAGTGGGGGCAGAAAGCCAGGCTCCCTTCTCCTCCCCATCTCTGCCTTGGCTGTCCACCCCAACAGTCCTAACCAAGCTCTGTCCCAGAACCCAAAGTAATGGGACTGGCATAGGGACCCTTACTCACTTGAAGCTCTTCAGGGTGAAGCTGGTAGATAGATGGGTGTCGGGGCCTGGCTCCCACTGGCAGATGAGGCTGTTGATTGTGAGGTTCATGATGCAGGATAGGTTGTGGGGTGCAATGGGAGGGTCTGTGGGTAGGGCGGAGAGAGTGAGGGCTTCAGGTAAGACCACTCAGAAAGCTCCCACTGGGACCAGTTGGGCATTTCCTTGCCCTGGGTCATGCCTTTGTCTCCATGCAGGGTGACCCCAGAAGGGCAGCCCTAGGGTAAGCTAAGTTATCCACACGTACAGAGACAAGTAAACAGAGCCTCCAACCCTCTCAACTCCACCCTTTTTGAAAGTAACAGTGTAGTGTCTGGGTTTTCATCCTGGTTCTGCCACTCATTAGCGGTGTGATCTTGAAGTCACCTAATGGCTCTGTACCTCAGTTTCCTCATCTGTAAAATGGGGGTAATGGTAATATACCTACCACCTAGGGTTATTGTGAGGGCTGAGTGGCTTACTAGGTATACAGAGCTCAGAGCAGTGCCTGGCATGTATGAGTGCTCTGTAAATCTAAACTTTCACTATTATTGATTCTTAAACAAGAACCTTGGTGTCTGTTTTTCATTATGCATTGGCCTGGCACAAATCCATCCTTCTCAGTTTGAGCAGAAGGCTGAGACTGGGGTAGGGGTAGAATCTGGGAGCATGCCCACCTCATTGAGAATGTCCTCCCTGGAGACACCTTCCTGTGGCTGGGGAGTTGGGCTTACCCGGCAGCCATATGGAGTAGTGGTTACTAGACTGGTTTTTGAGCCACACTGCTTGATAAAAATCTTGATTCCATCCTTATTAATTTGTGACCTCTAGCATGCCACTTTGCTAATGGTAAGGAACCCACCTGCCAATGCAGGAGACATAAGAGACATGGGTTTGATCTCTGGGTCAGGAAGATCCCCTGGAGAAGGAAATGGCTACCCACTCCAGTATTCTTGCCTGGAAAACTCCATGGACAGAGCAGACTACAGTTCATAGGGTCGCAAAGAGTTGGACACAACTGAGCAGCTAACACACACACAGCATGCCGCTTAACCTCCCTGAGCCTCAGTTTCTTCATCTGTGAAATGGGGCTACATAGTACTACCCACTCATAGGGAAGATGTGATATCATGCTTATAAAGTACTTATTGAGCAAGAGCTTAAGAAAGAATAGCTCTTATTAGTATTGGCAGGAGGGCATTGGAGGCGGAGTGAGGGGATGGTCACAGGGACTCACAGCCCGCCTGCAGCTCAGCCTGGTCCAGGATCTGCAGGCTGTTGCCCCAGTGCAGGCAGCAGGAGAGAAGGACCCGAGAGTAGTTGAGGTGGGGCAAGGTGATGGTGGACTGCAGGGTCCCATTCGGCAGGTGCTGCTGCCTCTCCCTGGGGTGAAGCTCTGGTTCCAGTTTCCATACAATCTGCCATTCAGTGACCAGGTGGCTGCAGTTCTGGTTGATGATGCAGGAGGCCATGACTTGATCTCCCAGGTGGACGATGGGGGCTGAGAGGAGGATATGCCCACACTGCTCCAGGCCTGGGGTGGAAGAGAATGGGCCGTAAGTGACTCCTCTGGCAGAGCAGGGCTCCTAGACTCAGTACTCCTAGACTCAGTGCCTTTACCTTCTTGCTTTACCCTCCAAGATTCAGAGGGGGCAGGTGCTGGAATGGCAAGGATGTGTGCAGAGATTGGGAGGGGCTCTTGGGTTGAGATGGAGATAGTGGTGTGGGGGTAAATGTTTATCAACCTGCTATACAGAGAGAAATGGGTCCTGGTTTGTAGCCTGGCTTGTAGCCTGGGCTGCTTTCCCTGGTGTAAATATTCCCACTGTGGCTGAATGTGAACTTGGGAAGAGAGGTACACAATCAGTGCTTGCAAGCCAATACCAGCACGCCACCAGATGGAGACCAGGCCCCTCCCCAACAATGGTGAAACAATGGTTAGAATGATAAGAAGCCCGCAGTCACAGCAATCTTTCCAGAATTCATATCTGATTGTTACCCCATCTTGACCACAGCACTTCAATGGCATGTTATTCCTCTGAAAGGCAGTATGCTGTGATGGATGAGAGTGTGGATGTTGGAACTAGACTGCCTAGGTTTAGAACCTGGTTCTATTGCTTAGTAATTTTGTGACCTTGATGTTACCCAGACTTTCTGTGCCCTGGTTTTCTCATCTGTGACATGAAGATAAAAAAGCCCTTAACTTAGTGACGTTGGGAGGATTAGATGTCAGAATATGCGTAATATGCACTCAGAATATGCACTCAGAACAGTGCCTGGCATGTAAGTATTTGCTGCTATGATTAGGTTAAAGACTCTGATCCTTCTCACAGCCCTAGACCCAGATCCTTCTCACAACCCTCGTGGCCTGGCCTCTGCCTAACCCTCCCGGTTCCAGCCCAGACCATTGCCTCTCAGCTCCAGTCCCTCCAGCCTACATGCTATTTTCTGAAAATGCCACGCTCCTTCCAGTCTCCTGATCTTCGTACCTGTTGGTCCTTTTGGAGGTGCTCCTTTTCCTTTCTGCCACCCCTCTTTCACCTGGTTGACATTCAGGCATCTTGCGAGGAACCAGACCAATGAGACCAATCTGACCAATCAGACCATGCCAGGCCCCCTGAACTTTCCCAAAGCTCATATTATCCTTCGTAATTATAGACTCACGTGATGATTTGCTACTCTGTGCCCCCAGCTAGACCATAGGTTCTGCGAGGCCAGAACCCCTGGCTGTTTTGCTCACTGTTGCATTCCCAGAGCCTAGCGCCGAGCAGGCCCTTGGTGAATGTGTCTGGAATAAATGAACAAGCACTGGACCTTGCCCACAATGCCTTCTCTCCTCTCCCAGCTGTTGTGCAGCCCATTTTGCTGATGGGGATGCTGAGGCCCCAAGAGGAGGAGCAATTTGTTCTTGGTCACAGAGCAAGTTTATAGGGCTCCTATTGCATCACAGACTCAGAATTTCAGACCAGAAGGACTCTTGCCAACTGTTTACTTCAAAACTCCACCAAGTCCTCTCCCACAGGGCTAGGATGATCTGTTTTTGTATGGCCTACCAGCTGAGAACACATATTTCTAGAGGGTGAAAAACCAAACCAAACAACAAATAAGCAAGAACATGCCACAGAGACTGTATGTGGCCTGCAAAGCTGAAAATTACATCAAAGTTTGCTGACCCCTGCTGTGCCTCGGCTTGCATACTGCCAGAGATGGGAGGCTCCGCACCTCTTAAGATAGTCTCCATAGTATGGAGAGCTCTGCCTGGGATTCATTAAAATATATATATATATATTATTATTATGTTTTTGTCTGCACCATGTGGCACGTAGGATCTTAGTTCCATGACCAGGAATTGAATCTGTGCCCCCTGCAGTGCAAGTACGGAGTCCTAACCTCTGGGGACTCTGCCAGGGAACCCAGGGAAGTCCTGGAGATTCTTTGCTTCAGGATTAAAGCTGCCTTCTCACAGCTTCCACCCTGATCCCTCTACTGCCCATGAAGCCTGCACAGGACTCAGAGGTTTCTTCTGACAACCTGGTAGAGATTTGCAGATAAGACCTGGCTCTCTTGCACCTTCCCCGGGCTGGCTAGCCCAGGTCCCCTCACCTTTCCTCAGAGGTGGTGGTTTGCCTACAGAGGTCTGTGCGTGGGAGCCCAGCTGCCCCGCATCTGTGGCCCAGTCGATTCTTTGGAGATTCTCTAGGAACCCCAGGAGCACTGTGATATTGCAGGGAAATGACTCCCTCCTCCACCCCCAGCATCTCTCCCAGTGATCCCTCCACCCCATGGCACCCTCACCCATGATCACACTCACTTCTGGGGAGCAGCAGGATGATCAGAGCAGCTCCCACCAGGCTCCAGGCTCCCAGCCCCACCATCGTGCCAGCTTGGTCCTCACCTGGAGGCAGAGAGGGTGGTGAAGGTCATGGGCTTTGGAATCAGAGCTGAGCTTAGTCCTTGCTCTACTACAATGTGGCTTCAGCCAGGTTACTTGACCTCTCTGAGCCTGGTTGCTCTGCAAAATGAAGGTGACAAAAACCTACACTGCATAGGGTTTGGGGAGGAAGACCCAAAATGATGCAAGTCAAGGGCATCGCACAGTGCCTGGCACATAGGAAATGACTCTCAAATGACTGTTATTATTATATGTGCCTTTAAGCAGAGAGGAGAGAAGGGAGCCACAGGGAACAACATTCCTCCCATTCCCTTCTGTTTTAGCTGGTCTCCCTGACTCCAACCTGCTGAAAGCAGAGCCTGAGATGAAGGCTTGCCTGCAGGTAGTTTATTTGGGGAAGACTCCAGGAACAGAGTAAGGGAGTGGGGAGAATGAAATGGGTAAGAAGGAAAGGCAACACAAGGGTGCGTCATCAAACTGGGGACAGCTGGGGCTCGATCCTGCTGGAATCTTGCAAGGAGCCACGTTGAACATGCCTCAGAACTTGGCTGGCAGAGAGGATGGGAACATTGTCCGCCAGTTCCTGCCCCCCTGTTGGTCAAGGGCTGTCCTTGGGGTATTGACTCCCTGGCACATATCACATTGCACATGTCTGAGTACTGGGTAGGTCCTCCAAGGTGAGCCATGCTCAAAGAGTCAGAGATACTCACTGCTTGGAAGAAAGGGACAACTCTACAGAACAGCTGAGGACAGGTTACACCTTGAAAAGCTGGCCTCCACAGCAATGCCTAAAGGCAAGGGTGGGTTGAGAGGATACCCCAATTCTGGGCACAGACCTCTAGAGGCCTTCTGGGACCAGATATCCGGTGGTCATGGCGACAGTGCCCAGATGGAGGGAGCATTAGTTCATTAGTCTCAGGAAGTAAGCAAAGGTTTCTATTGCTGGGGTGGCTTCCAGCCTTTCCACTTTGCTCCCACTGGGGTCTTGGGGCCAGACACCTGGTCCTCCAGCACTAACTGACGCACTGGATGGTAGATCAGTGGGAATCGCTGACAAGCTTTTGCATGTACATATGTGAACACATACATGTAGGTTGTGTCCCAACCGATCTCCTGTGCGCTCCAAGACAGAGGCGTGAATAAGAACTGCAGATACCCAAAGCTGTTTCTGCCTGCAGGGGTCCTTATATGTTGCAGTATCAGGATACCAGGTGAATGCTAGCCCCTAAGTCATCTTTTTGCAAATCAGGAAAAAAGCACCCCTTCCTCTGGACAAATGCAGCTCCACACAAGGACCTGGCAACTAGAGAGCAGGCTGGGTTTCAGCCTCTACTTTCTGGGCAGCTTTGTGCAGTGAGAAACCCACACAATTGTTCAGAGGACCCCAGTCTACCAATTAGTGGTTGGCAACCTTGTTCCTACAGCATCCAGTTTGACTATCCAGCAACACACACTTGTTGGGGAAGATTTAGCCTCCTTGGCTCAGATTTTGGGACACTGGTGCCTGTCCCTATATATTTTTGATCATATCCCAGCCCTACTGCCCAGCAAGGTACCATTTCATCCCTCTCCACTGGCTCCCAGTGGGCAACCCAACCCCAAATCCCAAGGGCCCAGGCATCTTCTCCTTGGGTCGCCAGGGGTTGGCACATTTGGCATCAGTCCCTGGTCACCCATGGAAGCCTTGGATGTTTCCCACCCCAGCCGAGAGGGTTCTGGGACCAGGTGGAGCATGGCATCACTTTCTGGGGGCCCAGCTTTGAGTCAGACCACCTGGTCTGAACCTCAGGTCCACCACTTACCAGCTTGGCGACCTTGGGCAGATTATTCCACCTTTCTGAGCCTCGGTTACCCCATCTGTGAAGGAAGGATAACAATAGCTCCTGCATCTCCAGGTCGGGGTGAGGATGAAATGAGATGGTCCGTGATGAAGGCACTTAGCGTGGCGCTTGCATAGAGGAAGTCTCCATAGCCATGTTATTTTCACGCACCATGAAGCGGACACCACCTCATGGGCTCAGCATGCGTTAGTACCTCTCTCCCCTGCTTACCAACTTGTGGTCTCTGCCTCCTAGGACTGCCACCTTGCTTTTGTCTGTGTCACATTTCATGTTTCAAAGCCCTGTTTCTGGGTTCCCTGCTCCTTGGCCCCCCAGTCTCCTCCTTTGCTTCCAGCCATCCCTGCTCACTCTCTGGACCCGAGTCCCAGCACGCTGTGTTGTCCCCTGGGGTCGCTGCATCACCAACCCCTGCCCCCCACCACCTTTCTGCTTTCCTCTCCTTTCCATCCCATCACACTCAGCCTTCTCTCCTTCCCCTTCTCCAGTTCACGCCTCTGTCTCCCCTCTTCTTTCTACTCGCCTTCACGTGAAGATTCTCTCCTTGGGAAGAGGGTTGGGGAGAGGAGGGGACTGGGACAAAACAAAGGGAGAGGACTTCCTAGATGTGGTTCAGACGGAGAAAGACGGGTGGAAAAAGTAGGCAAGTGGGATACACAAACCAAAACGCTGGAGAGAGATTACAGAGAGAAAGACTGAGGCAGGAGAGAGAAAGGAGCCTGAGACAAGGGATGGTGATACTCAGGACAGAGGCACTAAGAGGCTGAGAAGAAAGAGATGCTCGAGAGAATTTAAGACTCAAGAGACAAAGGGACCCTTGAGAGACAAAAAGAGGCACAGAGAGACTCTGAGACAGACAGAGAGGAGCTCAGAGCCAAGGCAAGCCAGAGAGGGGCTGAGGAGGAAAGAGAGAAATTTACATGGAGTGGAATTTACGTGGAGAGTGGAAGCAGTTAAGGCACAGGTTGTGAGAGAGACTTGGAGGCAAATAATGAGTATAACCTTCCCTGAATCCAGCCCTTTCTTGAGCCCAGCTCAGTGTCCCAAAGAGATATTTATCTGTCTGTGACTTCCCAAATGCAGCGCTCACCCCCCAAAAAAGTAGGGGCACCTTGGGAAAAGAGACTCAGTGTTGAGGGCTCCTGGTTCCCAGGGGTAAATTCTTAAGGCTGGAGTGCTGGTCCAAGGTCGCCAAGGGGCGTATGCCCTTGGCAGAGCGGAGGGAGTGGACCTGAGACTCCAGGGTCCCATCATTCTCAGGCCCAGTCCTCCCAGGGGCTCCCCTACTCACGCTGGAGCCTGCGGCCGGCCGGGCGCCCGGCCTCCCCGTCTCTGCTCTCCTCTTCAAGGCAAGTTCAAGTTCCTGAAAACAGCCGCAGCCGGGCTTCTGTCCCCAGCCCTGTCGTTAATGGCTCCGTCTCTGACAGGCGCAGGGGCTGCCGATTGCAACACCTGCCCAGCTCCTTCCCTCCCTTGCATTGTGGACTCGGGCACGGGCACCCCCTTCCTCCCAGGAAGGGGCCTGGGAGGGAAGCCGGGGAGGCCTGGGCAGCCTTCCTGCCTCGGGGGTCTTAAAGGGGCTGAGGGATGTGGCAACGTTGTCCCCCACCTCTGCCTCCGGATTTCCTGACTCAAAGCTTTGAGGCTGGCAGGGCCCGGGCTCCAACCCGCCGGGTGCCATTCCCGTGCCCCCCCCCGGCCCGGGGGAGCATCACTTGGAGACAGACCCTGGCTCGAAGGCTCGCTCGGCCCTAAGCCTCTTTTTGGCACTGACTTTGGGGCCCTGATCCTCCCAATATTCAGGGGGCGGCCTCCAAGGTTACAGGGAATTCTGGAACACAGTACCTTCCTCCCCGCTCCCTCTGCATGTTCCCCTCTGCATGTTCCCCGCTGCTGCCCGAAGGCCTTGCAGACGGAGAAATACAGACTCTGGGAAAAAATACAGACTCTGGGGACAAGGCAGGGGTCACTCATGAGGCTCTGGTCTTCATAGGCTCATGAGACATTAATAATCATTGTTCACTCACAGTGATTCTGCCAAACTGAATGTTTTTTCATTGAGTGAAACAGACTACATTTTATGTCTTTCATGGTCTGTATCCACGAATACCCTGCAGCTGTTTACGAATAATTTTCTGTGCATTTTTCTGAAGAGGGTTCAGACTGTTCATAGTTTCTTGGATTTATGACTCAATAAAGATTAGGTACTAACACACTAATGGAGTGTCCACAGCATATGACACATTTTAGGAAAAGTGAGCTTCTGAGTCTGTTGTGAGGGGGCAGACTTGGGCTCCGGTTCTGGTTCCAGTTCGAAATATCCAACTGTCGGCAGCTACCTCTCTGAAGTGCCCCATAGGATCCACATGCTCAGCAAATCCCATTGACTCTTCTTTGAAAGTATTAGAAGCAGAATCCTGAGTAGATAGGTATTCACCGTAAAGTTCAATTTGGCCATATGTTTGGATATTTTCCTGATGAAAAGTTGGAAAATATAAATATGACTTAAACCAATAGCAGCCAGCTCTAAGCCATCCTTTCTTTTACCTGGGTTGCTGCAGTGGCCGCCCTCCCCCCGCCCCTTCTTCCATTCATCCTTGTCCTGACCCTTACCCCCACCCATCTATTGTTCCTTCAGCAGCCAGTGTGATGCTGATCAAACGGAAGTCAATTCATTTCATCCTCTGCCCCAACTCCCAGTGGCTCTCATCTCACTCAAAGTCAAAGCCTTTTCAACGACCTACAGAGCCCTTTTCAGCCAGGGGCTCCCTCTGGCCCTTCTGTGATTATTCTCCCACTTGCTGCTCTCCTCCAGCCATTCTGTTGTACTTTTTAGGCTCCCTCCTGCCTCAGGGCCTTTGTACTTGCTGTTTCCTCTGCCTGGACTAATTTCCCCCAGATAACTATATGGGTCACCCCCTCCCCTCCATTTGAGCACAGAGTGACTTCTCAAATGTCACTTTCTCATTGAGGCCCTTGCTGACCACCCTTTAAAAATTGCAACCGCCCCTCACTCCCTAGCTCTCTTTCCCCTTTAATATTACCTCTTCACCGTCTGACACTGCCCCCTAGAATGGAAGTTCCATGAGAGCAAGAGTTTTAGTCTGTGTTGCTTAAAAACTTATCTCCAGGGTCTTCAATCCAT